AAAAAAAAAAAAAAAAAACGCTAAAGCGTGCAAAACGCCGCTGCCGAATACCAACAATATTTTTTTTAGTTAGCACGATTTCACCTCTAATCCGGCCAGAAATGGTGTTTGATTCGCCGGGGGAGGGGGGTCGGAGTAATTTCCGGACAATATCTGTTGGAAAACAAATAGATTTGCAGCTTCTGTGTAATGATTTCCATCCCAGTTTACATACACAGCAGGATTATCACATGGATTTGCAGTCACAGTGCTGCCGTTCAGGTTCTTAGTTACGCCGCATGCAATGCGACTGTCAAAGTTCAGGGGAGGCCCTCCGTAGCCACAGCAGGCTGCTATTGGCTGCTCAAATCCTGAGAGCAAATTAAGAAGGCAATCAAATCATCCAAATGTGTCTTCTAAAACATCTCACTAGTCTTTTTCTGAACTTAAAAACTTACCATATTGAGAATAATTTACTATGAGGTTTATCTTTATTGAGTAGATATCAACATACGTAACGTTGGCCTCAGGCAATTCCTGCCGGAGGTTTATGCAGAGATCGTGCAATTTCATGTTGAAAAGATTAACAGCGCGGTTGTGTGATGCTACACATCCAAACTGGTCCAGCTTTGATGAATCTTTTCTGTATGGATTGATGATTCTAGGCAGGCATCCAAGGGGACCTGTGTTATGAATCCAAAAGTTCCTTGCACCCTGAGAATATAAGTTCTGCAAAACAGAAATAGGAAGAAATGAAATTATCAGTAACGTAACTGGAAGAAAATTAACCAGCTGAATTAGGTTATGTACAAAAAGAAATTATCATTACCTCAATCCCATAGGCGAGTGCTGATAATAATGTAGGGATCAAAGCAATTACTTCATCCTCAGATTTTGAGTAGAATGCACCATCAAGATCATTCTGACCAACATCAAACATGTACAAGGCCTGACTGAATATTTCTTCAGTAGGAAGATACCCTTCAAGTTCCGTATCTAAGACCAGAACCATATATATTCTTAGCTCATAAACTTAAAACTATTTTAAGCGTGCGTGGTAGCATTGGCAACTATGATGTTAGTACCTTGGGATAAAAATTCCAGAGCTCGAGTTTTGAATCTGATAAACTGAGCTACCTGAATGTTGAAGGAAAAAGGGCTCTGGGCGGCTGCATTAGCAGGACGAATGGTAGCTCCTCCGGTAGCAAAATTGCATCCGTTTTGGAAATCTGGTGCCCCAACTGAATCCAATATTGGGTTCAGAAATGGCAGGTTCATAGCATCCACTGCATCATAAACACATTCACATAATTAAGAACTAAAACATTCTACTTCATATCTATTTTTAAAAGAGTAGTTCTTTACTTAGAAAATCAATGATCAACCGGCCATCGCAGAATCTCCCAGATGCACTCTTGAAGAATGTTTGCCCAAAAGGAAGTCCCAGCCTGAAACCCTCTCCGGCCACTAGTCCGCCTGTATCAGAATTGGAGTCTCCAAAGTTGAAAACTGCCGGATAATTGAGACTCAAAGGACAAACAAAAGGCAAACATGAAAAAACCAATGGTAATAATGCTAGAAGGGTATTCAATTTTCGAGCCATAAAGCTAAAGAAAGCCAAAGAAAACAATCTTTGAGACACTTTTTGTTGAACAAAAATATCTAAAAGTTCATTTAAAAAGGTGGCTGGAAAGCTAAGGATTGAGAAGTTGGTAGGGTGTAGGTTTCTTGTAGTTGAATTTGGGATAGGGACTGCCATTTCTGCCTTTTTTTCTTCTAATCAAAACAATTGGGTTTGCTTTTCGTATAATTAGCAATGACCAAATGAGTAAAAGAAGACAAAACAAAGAGGTGTAGAAGAATAAATTTTGAAAAGCAGTAAATACCATATGGAAGTTAACGATGATGGATCTGATTTCACTATCAATTCTCTTAGACGAACCTTAAAAGAAGGAGAAGAATTCACAAAGAGCCAACAGATTACTTTGAAGTTTCCATACTTTCACTTTGAGACATTATGTCAAACAGTTTGATACCCATTTCTCTGCGGTGAATATGACTGCAGAAAAACTAAGATGATAAAACAACGCGTATAAATTATAAATAAGGAAAAAGGGAGGAGAAAAAGGGGTTGGTTCTCAAGCTTTTAAGCATGCCTTGTTGTAATGGGATCCCCAATGGAAGTCTCATTCAATTGATCTAATTTAATCCCATGTCACTTATTGTCTTCATCAATTTAGATACTAATTTAGTCCATATAAATTCAAGCCCCTAAGAGACAATATTACAAAGATTTAATGCTCTAACTTTAATTTTAAATTAAAAATTTTAAATTAACATATTTCAATATACTCAAGCTTTTATTGATCTTAACCAAAAAACAAAAAAAATTACTTACATTTCGACCTTTAGCCCTAAATTCAAGCTCTTTTTTTATATTATATTTGGTTTAAGGAGAATGAAGATGAGGAAAATTTTTTTTGATAAATGATATTATAATATTTAAAAATATTATAATTTATCAATGACTTGTTAGTTAGGGTGAAAAGAGCTTGATTATCTTCTGAATAGCAAGAGATTAGTATAAAAAAATTATTATAACTCTTCTTTTCTCTTCTTCATTTTCCTCAACCAAAGCATACTATTCATATTATAAATATAAATTCAAACTAAAGTTTTTTCTTTAAGTAAATAAATAAATAAAATATTATAATATAATCTGCCTCTACTTTTTACTGTTAATAAAAAGGTGTGTTATCATAATTTACATAATTTAATAATATTTTTTAAAAAAAATAAAAAATTTTAAAGTCAACTA